CCATTTGACTATTCAAATGAAGTGACACCAATAGTTGAGGCGAGATAGATAAATTACCGAGTAGCTAATCTCGTGATTGATGTCACCCAAATCACAACCCCTCCAATTAAAATAAAGTGGTCAAACACAATTAAATTAGGATAGAATCCCAAAAAGAGTGGTGAAAGAACATACCATTTTTGAAAGAAATGCAATCTAATGACTAATGAAAGAGAATATTTTATTCATAAACTCAAAAATCTTTTGAATCTTATTCCTATAAAATATGTGAGAAGGTATATATATTTATAATACTAAGAAATCAATTAAAATAGAACTACAAAATCTATTTCAATATGAATTAGGACAAATACTAACCAAAAATAAATTAAATAAATACTAAAATAAGTCTAAGCAACTTAGGATTTCTATTACAGCTTTAAATTATTATTCCAACACTCTCGTAATTCAAAGTTATATACTCATGCCCTTTTCTTCTTGTCATTGTTATATTGGAGAGCTTTACTCAAGTATTCATTTGTTGAAACACTTCTCTTCAACCTTCGGTTGTTGGAGAATTTTTCTCCAACTCGCATTTATTTTTTTCTTGATTGTGTTGGAACACTTTTCTCCAACTTTTAGGTGTTGGAATAATTTCTCTCCAACTCAACTTTTTTGGTTGTATTGGAGCACTTCTCTTCAACTTTCAATAATTGATGAACAGTTCTCATCAACATTCTATTATTAGATAAAATAGAACACTTCTCTCTGACTGTTGTTGATGCACTTTGTCACCAACACACAATTTTGTTGATGCACTTTGTCACCAATATCAAATTTTGTTAATTCACTTGTAAGAAACTTTAAATCAATTTATTTTTCCCTCTTCTCTCCATTTTTGAAAGAAGAAATTCTTTTTCATTGTGTTATATTTGTTTGCACCGCTTTAGATTTTCAGTATTCTTTATAGTCTTTCTTAACATGATTATTTATCATGCATACAATATTGTCCTAATATATTAGCATATATGGGCCACAGTCGTTCGTCGGTAGCGGAAACTTTCTAATTCTCTATTAAGATTGTAGGACCTTTGATATCAATTCGATAAAAATATTTTTTATAAACTCAAACACCCTTAAATCTCACTGCTATAAAAAATGTGTCAAGGTATCCCTATTTATAGTAATAAGAAACAAATTAAACTAGGACTAGAAAATTTATTGTTGAATTAGGAAAAACAAATCACAACTAGAAATGAATTAAATAAATATCAATAACAAGTCCTAAATAACATAAGATTGATACTCCAACTTAAACTATATTCCACCAACTTCTCTTTTAATAGGGGGTTTCAGATGAGAAATTATTAACTAAATTATACTGCATTGTTTGTATCAAATACTAAAGACAAATTAGAGTTAGGGTTCTTATATATCAAAAATCAAGTAGATAATTTACCTTCAGTTATGTTCATTCCAAACCTAACAAATCTATTAATTTATCAAAGCCTTCCAACCTAATTAGAATAATTTTAGCCCAAGTCCTTCCAACACTTAAGTGTCGAAATAATTTATTCATCATCATATGCTTCATGTTAGCTATCCTATCTTAAATCATGTTAATTGTAACGATCCATTCCATCGTTATTCAATAGATACCTACTTTGGAATCCAAATTTTTTTGAAATACACAGCTAAATAAAATTAGGGTTATACAACAAAAATTTTAAAATTTAAATTTAATCTAGGCTGATGTCATCCCGCCATAGTGAGAATTTTCCTGCTATGACACCACCACTGTAGCGGCGTGTCAGCTGCTATAGTGTAACCAATGAGATCAAAATATGGTAAACATAGATTTTATAATTTTTATCTTCTTCTTTAATGATATAATATACGAAGATTACTCCAAAAAATCTCCTAAGTATCCAAGCTTGGGAACAATGGAGTCGTGAGATTTCAACACAAAGAGGGTCAAAACCCATAAATTTTAGTCCTTCTTTCCTTATGATTTTCCCCATAGATCCAGAGTTTGTATCTAGAGTACTTTTTTGGATGTTTCTTGGGTATAGGTAGGCTAGTCTTAACCTAGTAGTTAGACATGTCCCTAAATGCGTAATACGTTGTATTCTATCGGGATATTTCATGCCTACCTTTGGGTGTGAAGTCTAGATGACTAAATGCATTGATTATTCTTGATTGGGATGGTAGGATATTGATTACTTAATGTTGACATTTTGATAAATGTTGTGTATTATCCTATTGGTGGTAAGATGATTTTGAGTTGGATAACTATCGTGGAAGGGTTGTTTAGGGTAGGTATTTTCCATTCATGTTATGTATCTATGTGAAATATTTGGCTAGTATAACTTAGATAATATGTGGTTAGGGAGTTGGAAACGGAGGAAGGTGAAGTGATGTCTTGCTGTCAATCTCATGCAATGAACTTGTCTTGTTTGATTGTGGTTTTACAAGTATAATTGTATTATGTGTGATGCCTAGTTAGCTTGGGTACCATGCCTCGTATATATATCAGTTAGTTCAGGTTTCATGCTTAGTAAATCTTATCAATTAGCTTGGGTACCTTGTTTGGTACATATTCTTGTATTATCTTGGTACCATGTCCGGTACATGATATATATTGGTTGACTCGAGTATTATGCCAGGTTTATATTATCAATTAGCTTGGATAACACATCTGGTATTGAATATCTATCAACTGACTCGAGTACTATGCCTGCTACGAGTTTCATATCACTTGGCTCGGATACTACACTTCATACATATTTGATATTCTCTACGTGTTGATTCTGTGAGTGGACCGAGTTTATATGTTATATTTTATGTATCACATGTTGGTCCATGAGTGACCTCATTGAAGTATTAAATGCTGAGATTATTCTTGTATAGAATGAAATTGTAAGTTAAATACCATAAAAATGATGTTTTCGTAGATCATTGGGTGATCCGGGTTACTTGAGGGAGGGAGGGAGGAGAGAGAGGGGGGGGGGTTGAATCACGAGTATGTTATGTCAAGGAGAATGAGTAAGAGTTTTGCTGGTAGTATACTATATGGGTAGAGGGTTGGTGTTGGAAGGTGTCATAGGAGAGGGAACATGCGGGTTGATAGAGTTAGTTGGTAGATTCAAAATTAGGAATGGATTTAGTTGGAAAGATTTGGGTGTTTGAAAACTGGGTGGTTTCATAAAGTCATTTTGTGATAGAATGGTTAAGTCAAGAAACTGGGTATATTAGAAGCGGACAAAGGTCTAGGTAAATTATTAATTCTTTAGGTCTTCTTTGGATCAAGTTGAATACTTTTACAAGAGACAATGTGTCCAATGAAAGCAACGAACCTTAACCAAAACTCACATTTTCTAAACTTAGCATACCATTCTTGATCCTTGAGAATTTTCAACACAATTCTCAAATGTCCAACATGCTCATCCTCACTTGGAGAGTAAATCAAAATATCATTGATAAACACAATCACGAACATATCAAGATATTGCTAGAAGACCGAAGTCATTAAGTCCAAAAATGTCGTCGGGCATTAGTTAAACCACACGACATCATAAAATATTCATAGTGAACCTACCGAGCTCTGAAATCCATCTTGAGAATGTCATTTTACTTTATCCTCAATTGATGATAACTTGATTGAAGACTTGTCTTTGAAAAGAAACTCGTACATTGAAGTATAGCAAAACAAGTCATCAATTCTTGGAAATGATAGTTATTATTCATGATAACATTATTCAATTGTTAGTAGTTAATGCACATACGAAGAGAACCATCCTTAGTTCAAACTGTAACGATCCAAAGTATTCCCTAGATGTGATATGATGTATAAAACCTCGAAAGGCCATACACAAGTCATTTGACATACACACACAATGTAATATACAAAATTAAATAATATACACACACACACACACACACACACACACACACACACACACATATATGTATATATATATGTATGTATGTATGTATGTATATATATATATATATGTATGTATGTATGAGAAAGATTGACATTTAAGCCGAAGTCTAACATACTCTTGACAAGTCATCCTAATACATAAAAAGGAGTGGTTGGGACATAAGAAATACACCACATACAACAACCAAAAACTACCAATAGCCTTTGCTCATGAGGTTATGAACATAAATATTGAACATCATTTAAGTACAACTTTTCCCTTAAATATTCATACTTGAAATGTAGAATGTACATGACACTAGTAAGGATTACCATAAATATTTTAATATTTTACCTTTATATGGAATCTATCTTTTACAAAATATCACTACCTCCGTCCCATTTTATATGTCACCTTTCTTGATTTCAAGAGTAAAACAAGTCTATCTTTGACCGCAAATTTTTTATAGATCTTATAAACATTTTGGATTATCAATTATTGTGACTGATAGTACTTTTTACGTAGTTTACTTAAGATCATATCGTATGATATTTACTATTATCGACATAGACGACATCAGCTATGACGTTGAATTTAATTTCTTTCTCTCACACTGAATAAAGAGATTGATGTCCTTGTTTTCTAACGCAAAAATCTCAAAATTCTAGCTCAGGTGAATCAACTAGCTATGTCACTCAAGATTATCTATGGGGCATATAGTTAGGGAAAATAGATTGCTACTAGAGACTTGGATTATACTAACGAGAGATTCTCCATCTCAATATTCTCCTTGTGCTAAGTAAAATCCTAACAAAATTAGTCATAAACGCAAGCATATCATCATCCATGGAAAAGTATAATTTAGTTACTAATCCAAGCTAAAAAAGAATCATAGAATAGCTCCTTAAATCTTGAATCATGGAACCATTTTTTCACGTGACGTAACTTATCCGTGCTATTGCTATTGTTTAGGGGTGTGAAGATTGTGTTTCTGAATTTTTCTTTTTGAGAAAGAAAATGTTATTTTGTGAGAAAATCTTTCACAATTTAGTTGATGCTAATTTCAAAGCAACCTATCATAACACAAAGAAAATGTTATTTTGTGAGAAAATCTTTCACAATTTAGTTGATGCTAATTTCAAAGCAACCTATCATAACACAATCGTTTTCATAAATCATGCATATCTTTCGTGAAAGCTTCAATCAAAACTCTGAATGGACCCTCGATATTCTATAGATTGACCATACAACATGTTCCAAATCTTTTAGAATCATCAATCTACGGATCCGAGGTTGTCTTGACAATGGTAAAATTTAACTTTCTTAATATTCAAGAATACAACCAATGATTTAAAGCACACTTGAATGTTTTTGAATTCATACCAACCAGCCAATCAAGTCAAAATCACTTCCCACAGCTATTGAGCTATCTGAGCTTTAATCCAACCACGGAAACCTGGAATATTGACTTTTGTCAAACTTGTGAACCTCCAAAACTAAAAGTCTTATCAAAACTCATGTATTTGAGCATCTCGAAAAATTGTGTCACTCATCCCCGCAAATCGCATATGACATATAAAAGCTACAAAAAGAGTAAAAATAGGGAAAACCAACTAAAAGTATGAAACAACTACGAGGATCGTTATACTACCACGTCCCCTCTTTGTCATTTTTATAATTTATACTAGTTACGTTTCACGGCACGTGCATAGCACGTGTGTATTGTATATATAGTATATAATGATGTAAAATAGAATTAATATTACTAAATTAAAACTTTTTAGTAAATAATTATAATTGAAAAAACACAGGAAAAGTGTTGTTAAATAATTAATACAAATTGTTATAGAGTTACTTGTATTTTGAGATCAAAATGACCAGATATCATCGAAGTAATTCAAAATACATTCAAAGTTTAAATGTGGGGGGAAAGTGACATTTCTTAAGTAGTATTTTCACTTCACTAAATTTTGTAAGCAAATCTAACCAACCATTTTTTTTAAAAAACATATCAATACAAAAATTGTCACCAGTAGCCTTTCCTCGTGAGATTATGAACATAAATGTTGGACACCATTTAAGTACAACTTTTCTCTTAAACATTCATACATGAAATGTAGTATGTGCATGACACTAATAAGGATTACCATAAATATTTTATTATTTTACCTTTATTCATAATCAATCTTTCACAAAATATTACTACCTCCGTTCCATTTTGTATGTCACCTTTCAGATTTCAAGAATAAAACAAGTCTATCTTTTACCGCAAATTTTTCATAGATCTTATAAATATTTTAAGTTATCAATTATTGTGACTCATAGTACTTTTTACGTAGTTTACAAATATAAAAAATTTATTTCAAATAATTGAAAATTCCATGAACAAATTTTTGGTCAAACTAAAATTGTTTAACTGTCAAAACATAAAAGATGTCATATAAATTGGGACAGAGAGAGTATTACTCAATTAATAGTTGACTAAGAATAGACTATCATATACAGAGTGGTATTTTCTCCATTTGATTGAAATCATATTATAAGTAAAAGCAAATATTTTTTTTTTTAAATAGTGGATTTTGTATCCAAACTAATAATTCAATAAACTATGTTGATACACGTTGTTTTTACCAAAATTAGTAAGAAACATCTTCGCGAGGATATATAAGAGAATAACAAATTAAATCTAAGAAGAAATATCGTACCAATATCATGTGACTTTTTTCATATTTTCTTCTTATTGTTATTGTCTTTTCCACGACTTTTCGTCATTGTTAACTCATGAAAATCCTAAGAAAAACCATGAGTGCGAATTGTTGAACGGTTTGCTACAATTTGTTCACCAACTCTTTTTATGTGATACCTCGAATTTCGTTGAATTTTGAACTTAATGAACTGTTTCAAATAACTCTTGAGATTTTTTAAGAAAAAAAGAGTACAAAACTTTTAAAAAATTGTAGTTTAAAAGTGAGAAGAAACTCGTCTATTTATAACTAACAAATAGTATTATGAATAGTTGTTAATTGTGCCTTATTAGAAAAGTTACAACCTTTCGAAAAAGTCACCGCTCATCGAAAAAGTTACAACTCTTTGAAAAAGTCACAACTCATTGAGAAAGTCACAACCCATTTGGAAAAAAATCATAACCCTTTGAAAAAATCATAACCCTTTGGAAAGTCACAACTTATCGAAAATGTCACAACTAATCAAAAAAGTCGCAACCTTTTGAAAAAATCACAACTCTTTGAAAAAATGACAACCCTTTAATGTGAAAAGACATCTATTTTTAGTGTAAACAAATAACTGAACTAATAAATAAAATATATTGAGTATTTTTAATTGGTGGTATATAGTAATTCAACATTCAAGTTTAGAGTTCATGTTTTTAAGGTAGTATAGAAGATATAGATATAGATAGATAGATATAGAATATATATAGATACAACACCTCTGAAAATATATATATTTTTTTTTAAAAAAAACACTTAATTTAACTTAGATATTATATAGTTTCACAAAAAAAAAGTTTTTCCTTTATTTTGAAAGGATTGGTCTAGTTTAACTTTATACGAAATCTAAGAAAATTATAAAGAGGAGGTTTAGTTCAATACATAACAAGGATTTGGTTTTACCAAACGTATTCACATGATAATCTTTTCTCTACTCCAAAGTCAAAGAGTCACAACCTTAAAAAAGTTTAGAATTAAGAATTTACTTCCACAACCTTGCATGTGCAATTTTTCATTCACGCATGAAGAACATTGTGAACTATTCATGAATTATATTCACTTTAGTAAGACTAATCTTATATCTATTAAGATTCATCACATATTCAAGAAAATAGACTAATTCCAAGAACTTACGATAAAAACGTCACACACCATAGATCAATATCAATGAGGTCATGTTGGATTGTTGGTGCTATATTGGGTAAACATTGTAGGGGTTTTGTTGCTTATAAAATCAAGTAAATAACTACTTTGCTTTACTCTTAATAACAAAACACACAATGTCCAATCCTCCTCTTGCTCATTCCTTTTATCTATTTACCATACTTACAATTTTCACATTATCGATATTTTCTTGTTCTATCGTGGCTGAAACCGATCCATTCTCACCCGCCGTGGCAACGTGGTATGGCGATTCTGCCGGAGCTGGTAGTGGTAATGTACACAACCATCCATGAGCACACATGCAAATGATTTATGAATTTAATAACGTGCATAATTTTATAAACATTTAAGTTATATATATATATATATCGATAATATGCAAATTTTTATGTTATCAACATAATTGTTAGAGTAGGTTACTTGGTATTTATTATAGGCTACTAGGAATGCTTATTCATGAATACATATATATAAATTAAGTATTGTCAGTTTATAAAAGTTAAACGCAAAAAAAGTACCTGGTCGTTATGTAGATGGTGGGGCATGTGGATATGGAAACGACGTAAAGAACCCTCCATTTTCTGCAATGGTATCAGCTGGAAATGGAAATATTTTTAAAGGTGGAAAAGGTTGTGGAGCTTGCTATCAGGTATAACTTCATTTTAAACTTATATTAGGTTAGTTTATCATATTTATCAGATTATAATTACATATATCTTATCTATTCTATAACTATATATAAATACTGTCAGTGAATATATTTGAAATTAAAAGAAAAAACTATTTTAGGTAATGTGCAAAGAGAAATCAGCTTGTTCTGAGATACCAATAACAGTGACAATCACAGATGAGTGTCCAGGGTCTTGTGGTAATTATGGTGCTCCTTTTCATTTTGATTTAAGTGGTACTGCTTTCGGGGCATTAGCTAAGCCTGGCCAAGCTGATTTATTGCGTGGAGATGGAATTATCAATATTGGATACAAAAGGTGAAAAAATTGTGTTAGTTTGTTTGATAATTTATATATCTCAATTTATGTAGCATAATTTAGATTTTGATAGTCAATTTTTTATTTGATAGTGAACTAAAATTACTGGATATATCGGAACTGTATAAATAGTGTATAACTGTGCATATACGATGTGTGTATGTATAATCATATACATTGTTTATACATTATTGATACATTGCAACAATTCATCTTCTTTAATAAACTAATTTTTTTTCAATTTTGACTAACACAAATCTCTTTTAAATAGTCTCAAATACATAAAACTTTTGTATTTTCTTAACAAAATGTTCTCTTGTACTCGCAAACCATTGGATAAAATGACTCGACTACGAATTCATGCATTTTTATTAGTCTTATGCAAAGTTGATCTTAAAACTAGAATAACCTTATCTAATCATGTGAATATTTTTTAATATAATAGATGTAATGAGATTCAATTATATGACTTCTCCCTACTCTGCTACCACATGTTATATATAGACTGTGACCTATCATTTAAGAACATATGTTATTAAAAAGCTTACTCTTTATAATAATTTATTTATCATCTTCAACATGTCTACATATTTTTTTTTAAAAATAAATAAATAAAAGATGATTAATTAATTATATATGATGAATCATTTATAGAGTGGCTTGCAATTATCCTCAAACAACATTGACATTCAAGATGGATCAAGGCTCAAATCCTAGCTATTTTAGTTGTGTGATTGAGTTTGAAAATGGTGAAGGAGATCTTGGTTTAGTAGAGCTTCAAAGTAGTACTGGCTTAGTTAATAAATGGCCACCAATGCAACATTCATGGGGTGCAAATTGGAAAATTGAGTTGCCTCCACAAATAAAACCTCCATTTTCCATTAGGTTAACTACTTTAGATTCAAACAAGATACTTGTTGCAAACAATGTCATTCCACTTGATTGGGCCCCTGGCCTAATATATCATTCACTTGTCAACTTTTGATAACATCTACTTTATCATAATTATAAAGTTCAAGCAATTAAAGAAGTAATATAACTATGATGTCTTATGTATAGAAATTGATAAAGAATAATATGAAAAATATTCTTCAGTGTAAGGAAATAAAATAACAAAAAATGTTTTTTTGTTATGCTATTGTGCGTTTTTCATGTGTTCTAAGAAGCTCTTTGAAATATTCTTATAAGAATTAAACTTATAAGAATCATTATAATTTGGACTTTATTAGATATGTATAATTATAATTTGTTTAATTAAAGTTCCAAATTACATGTTGGCAGTGTAGAGTTAGTATTTTAAATAAGGGTTCAAAATCAGTAGAAATAAATTTACGAAGTAGCCGAAGGGGCTCGACCTGTAATATATATATATAACTATTTTAACCATGTGAGAGGCAAACAACATAAGAAAGAGATGAAAGAGATACAATTGATTTGTATGTTTAATTGAGTCTCATAAAATATTCAACTTTTGAGAACTATCTTATATTTTAAAAGCTTCAAGCAATTGAATAACAAAAAAATATCACCATGAAGTTTTACATATGAAAAATTAATCAGGAACTCTATGACAAATTTTCTTCCGAGTCATCTATACAAAAGATGAAATACCTTGTAATTAGTTAGTATTTATACAAGTATAAGGAAATAAAACAATAAAAGGAAATATTAAATACTATACCATTTGTTGATTTCTTATTGGCTATCTTAAATACTAAAAAATGAAGAATATCTTTTACTATGCTATTGTGTTTTTCTGACATGTTCTAACTTCAAAGCTTCTAGGAATATTTTTTAACAAAGAAAACAAATTACTTAGGGTAAATATATTCAGTATTCATATACAAATATTCTTCCATTCCTTCTTCTTTTGGTCAAACCTCCATTAAATTAAGAATAAAAATTATCCTTTTTTTAAAGTATGAACGACAATAATGTTCATTCAATTAATAAACACGAAAGTAAACATACATTTCTTGTCCTATTTCACTCCTTTCATTGTGTTAGTCTAGACAATAAAATTCGTGTTGAGAAAATAATAATCAAGAACGAAAGATTATAGGAACAATCAATTTATTATTTCAAGTGTAAGTGTTACAATCTCTATGATTTCTCTGAATTCGCTTTTTCAAATTTTTAATTCAACGGCTCAAATCTTGATCTTGAACTTGGGATTTATCTTGATCTTGATTTTGGGCTTGAACTTGAACTTGGACATGATCTTGATCTTGGACTTGAACTTGACTTTCTATTTGAATTCAAAGGCTTGGATCTTGATCTTGAATTAGGTGGTCTTGATCTTCAACTTTTCTTGAACATGATCTTGACTTCTTCTTGGACTTGAACTTGATCTTGACTTGATAGTTGAATTCAAGGGCTTGAAGCTTGATCATGAATTCGGTAATCTTGATCTTGATCGTTCTTGAACTTGAACTTTATCTTGATCTTGACTTTCTAGTTCAATTCAAGGGCTTGGAGCTTGATCTTGGATTCAGTGGTCTTGATCTTGATCATTCTTGAACTTGATCTTGGAATTGAACTTGATCTTGATCTTGACTTTCTAGTTAAATTCAAGGGCTTAGAGCTTGATCTTGAATCCGAGGATCTTGATCTTGATAGTTCTTGAACTTGATCTTGGACTTGAACTTAATCTTGATTTGAACTTTATCTTGATCTTGACTTTCTAGTTGAATTCGAGGGCTTGGAGCTTGATCTTAAATTCGATGGTCTTGATCTTGATCGTTCTTGAACTTTATCTTGATCTTGACTTTCTAGTTGAATTCAAGGGCTTGGAGATGATCTTGAATTCGGTGGTCTTGATCTTGATCGTTCTTGAACACTTGAATTCTTGAACTTGTAGAGAAATTTATGGCTTTTGATATACGAGATTTCTCTAGCTTCTTGTTTAAAATTTTTCGTTATCTTTTTCTCAATTATAAGACTCCTATTTATAGTTTTAGAATAAAAGAGTAGCGATTGGAACATGACTCCATTCGACCAATCAGATTTAAGTGAAATATCATATGAGCTTTATGGAGCGGACTTTAATTAAATTCATATTTACCTGAATTTAAATAATAAGATCAATTATATTAATCCATAATATTTATTTGGATTACTATATTCATTAATTTAATATAATTCGAACAACTTTATGAATTTATATTCAATAAATTTTAAGTGACTACCGTTAGATTTCAAAAGCAATATCAATATAAATTCAACTAAATCGATTAATGATTATAATCGACATGATTACACTATTTCAGTGCTTTTCTCAATTGTTTTTTGGTAACTTCTTATTAGATATGAATTTAGTGAATAACTTGATATTCACGATGGATACCAATTTGTGAACAAATTTCATACATACAAGCTTTGATAAATAATATATTAATATCAGTGAAGATATGCTAGTTTTTTTATACAAAACAAAATCAAACCTTTAGCTAGTTAAATTTAGAGTAAATTCCTTAAATTATCATTCATGTTTTAAAAATTTGTCGTATGATATCACTTTTATTTCTTTTAGGACGAGGATATCACCTACTATTTATATTTTCATCAAATTATACTCCTCTCTTTTAATGGGATGCAATATCACATTATTCTTCATCTTTCTTTTTTCAAACAATTTTTTATTAATAATACAATAAAAGTTTGTGTAATCTCCCTACAACTAACTTTCTTTTAATTATTCAATTTAAATATTTACCAATTTTTGATTTTTATAAACTAATCAAATTTTAAATTAAAATTAAATAATTGCATTTGTTATTAATAGTCAATATTTTGAAAATTAATTATTAAAAAATTATAAGAAGATAATAAGTAAATAAAATTCAAAGAATAGTTAGTCACTAACTTACTAACAAAATTATAATTCTTATTGAACAATATAGATTCATCTTGTAAGAGTTCTAATATGTCGTACTTATTTAAAAGAGTCCTATTTTATATTTTTTTCCCCGACCTTATCAATTTGTAGTAACTTGAATATAGGGCTGTTAATGGTTATGGTTAACAACTAAATCAAATCACAATTTGAACTAAAATGATTAAAAGAATTGATATTTGGTTTAGTTTGGTTAGGTTTGATTTTTAAATTTTTAAAACCAATACTATTTGGTCTGGTTTGATTTTACTAAAAAACAACAGGCAAAAATAATAAAATCGAACCGATAAATTAGATATATAAATTTTATAATTATTTATATATTATTCATAAATAAATTAAAAATATTTCGTTAAATTTTAGTTATCTTAAGTCATTAACTTTATTATTTTTTCATGCCCAACACATTAGCCAAGGTATAACAATCTCAAATCCAAGTATATCAAAATTCATTTTAGTTTTTACTTACTGTACTTCACATAAAATAGTCACACTTTCTCTTAAATGAATCACTTTTGCTTGCTTAATGACAACTCTAATATTGCTTCATTACTTGACTGCCGACATTAGTTTTTTCTGTAGATTGTTCATGTTCTTGGCGTTTGTGTCTATCGAGATACGTATGTCCTTAAAAAAATTATTACTTTCAAACCGAATAAACCAGGAAAAACTGAAACAAACCAAACTAAACCGACAATAGACAAACTGATGGTTATTTTTTTTTGTTTGGATTGGTTTGGTTTTAGAAATTCAAAAAATCGACTAAATTAGTTTGATTTTGATTTTAATCGATAATCGGTCCAAGTTGAACCACAAACACCCCTACTTGAATATAAAGATAAACTTATTTGAATTAACATACATTTTTTATTTAAAATAAAGTATAAGAAACAAAAATCTGAATTTCGAATCCATATATTTAACCTAATGACTTTTATAATATCCGTGCATTCCACAAGTATGGAATGCATAGATCAATCATGCATTCATTTTATATCTTCATGTTTGTATTTTATAGTAATTTATTTATCACTCTCTTCATCTTAATATATTTTTCATATTTCAATTTGTAGTAAATTTAAGAAAATATTAAATAAAATTGAATCTTGTGATTTTAAGTCAAATATCTTCACTCCTTTCGTGTGGTCTATCTTTTGAAGTATGGATCAAGTATCTGGATTGTAGTTTGTATCTCGATGAAGAACACTTCATGCCGTTTTCACTATCACAATCCAAAAATGGATGCGAAGGCATTTGTCTATTCCATCAAAACAAGTAAGTCTCAACTCAATGAAAACAAAAAAAAGCGGAAATAAAATAAGAATAAGACAAAGCGGAAATCTTATTTATTCTAAACAATACCCAATGTCTGATTGTCAAGTGTATAAATCACTAATTGAAATACAAAATTGAGAAGATAAATACAAGTCTCATAGTCTTTGCTTCTCAAATAGAACAAAGAGTAAAGTAAAGGAACATAACGGTCCGACGAGATGACAAACAACTACATTTCAAAATCAGGAGAGAGAAGATCACGTAGGATTGGGCTCGGAACCTACTCAAGTGTAGAAGGAGTGAGTATACCAACAACGTATTACCCAACAAGAAACCTACTAAACAAGACATCTAGCTAGAAATTGAATTTTCCTTACTTTCCAACCGAATCTCTTCAAACTTTAACCATTACTAAAATCAGTCCAACCTAGCAGTTTTATAAACACATCTTACAAGGCTCAATATGCTCAAATCAACACTCAAACGAATCAAAGAAGTCAATTTCAAAATCAAGTATCTCATTCACACGCAACAAGTACATCAATCACAATAATGAGTAAGACAATAAAGCATACACATCAAATGCACAATATCACTAGTCGAAACTATTTCCCATCGACTTTAGATTAAATCACTAGCTGGAAGCATTTTTCTTCGACTTTATATCAAATTAAATAGTTGTAACCATTTTTCATCTGCTTCATATCAAACGACAAGTCGAAACTATTTTCCATCGACTTTATAAACAATTGTCAGAAATGATCTCGATGTAATCACACTCACCGATAAATATCTCGACATATAATTCATCACATGTCTCTTCAGTATTCAACAATCTATGTACACAAGAAATATCACACCACGAAAGAGCCAACAAATCATATATTTCAAGTCCATAGTCATACTTTCAAAAATTTCATTAGT